TTTTAGGGAACATGTTTTGTTTTAAAGTAAGTTACAGGACTTTTCCCTTCTTTTCAGGAGGACTTTTACTTCACTAAAAACGATCTAATATGGATATCCACATAATTCCATATTAGATTCATCATGAATGTGAGTTGTTGTTAAAAAAGTTAAAGTTTTTTAACTTTGAGCACCCGCCCCTTTAAACGTCTCTGCACGGTCCTGGTCTACACCATTCAGTGTTACCTTTAACACTTTACAGTGTGCAGTGAGTGTTGTTTTTACAGTGTTAATCTTTATTAACTTTAGTAGTGTTTAATTTAAACCACAGGGTGTTAAGTCAATGAGTTTCCACCTCCACATATCTGCCCTATTTTAATATGCATACTAGTCATGAGGATCAGAAGAGCCATCCCAGATTTACCCACCATCATGAGAAAGACTGACCAAAAAGGATATTACAGCTTTTTCTTGTTTTATATTATATTATATTTTGCTGACTCAGTTCTGACTGATCTTGGCGATTAGAGAGCTGTGGTTTTATAACATATTGGCATCAAGTCAGAGAAAAATTATTGGAGATATACTGGACACGTCTCCTGAGTGGTTTATATTTTAATGGGATGGGGGTGTATTTGATTGCTGGTCCTGTCCTTGGATGATTAACATATGCAGAAAGGTGTCAGGACAGTTGTTATACCCTTTTCTGTGCAGCTCCTGGTACCGCCCACTCCCCTGTAGACCAATGGTGCTGGATAAAGTCTGTCTGTCTGTCTGTCTATCTATCTATCTGTCTGTCTGTCTGTCTGTCTGTGCCCCATATCTTTCGGCCCGACCCCCACCCAAGACCCATGTCCTGATGATCTTGTGGCAGGCAGGCAGGCAGCCAACAAATCACACAACATTAAATATCCATCACATACATCATTCATACATACAATGACCCACTGGGGAACTGAACTCAGGCAGGAACATAAATACAAAAACTGAACTGGGTAACAAGAAGCAGGAGTGAGACAGACAAATAACCAATCCGGGAGGGTGCAGGGAAACGAGCAAACACACAAGGACAGGCAACAGGTGAGACTAATCATTATTCAGAAACTAAAGAGGGAAACTAGGAACTGACAAAGAAACAAGGAAAACAGAATCCAACAATTTATAAAAACAGGTAAAACACAACCAAAGCACAAAGCAAGAAACCAAACAGAAAACAAACCACAAAATCACAGGAACTAGAAAAACTGATGAAACCAATGAAAAACTAGGGAACAAAATACAAAAACAGACGAGGCGGGATTTAAACACACAACAGAGGAGTTAATTAACAGCTAGACGGTCAGCTCATTGAGCCATGCAGCAAGTCTAGGAACAGGGGAAACACTAAAGACTTGGACAATGGGGGAAGACAGGAAAGACTGGGACAAACAGGTGCTGAATCTGACATATACAGTACAGAACTCTCTCCAATGGAAGGGATTCTGATGTTTTAGCCTAACGTTCAAGATGGTACAGCAAAGAAAAATATCATGTATAAAGGGATAACTGAACAATGAAAACCATGCATTTTACACTCCACAAAGAAACAATGAAAAAAACATAAAGAAATTTGAAAAAAAATACATTGTGACGTTGCAGAAGTTGAAAGGTTTATTTCTTGTAGATAGATTATTTTTATTAAGTAACATTCAGATGCACGTATACAGTATATATCTGTGCAAAAGTGAAACGTGTAATTCAGCATAGCAAAGCATAGGAATTCTAAGCCACCTTCCATTCTATAGTCAAAAATGACAAAAAAAAAAAAAGATGACAAACTCTTTAAATTTCACTCTCCCACACAGCAGTAATCCCAATTGCCATCTGTTGTGCTGCACCATAAGTAGTCATTACCATAGTGTCCACAGGGGTGATCAGGCTTGCAAGTTTTGCCATCTACAGCTGAAAAGCGATCATTATGAGTGCAGCAGTACTCCCAGTCGTTATTATAATCAGGGTAGCACCAGTAGTAATTTTTACCATATTTGCCACAAGCATGATTGATTCGACATTTTTTGCCAGTTGTGGTTATACTGTCAGGCAGAGGCGGACTGCAGTAATCCGTGGACCCCAATGCTTTCTTACACCAGTAGTGGTCTTGTCCATATGTGGCACAGGGATGATCATCTTTGCATTTCTCACCTCCAGCAGTGATGAGTGAGTACTGGGGTGAGCACTGTATGTAGGACTGCCCTGAGTAACACAGGTAGCCCTTTTGAACACCCATGTACAGGCAGGGGGAGGTACAATAGGGAATTAATCCACTGTCTGTGTCACAGCAACGCAGGCCACTCCAATAATATGCTGTGGTCATCTCCTCAGCAACTGATATCTCTGGGACGACCAGACACTTATCATGCTTGGACCCCGATTCACATACACAGTACACAGGAGACACTGGGCTCTTACAGTGAGTCCCATCAGCTGCAGTCTTTGATCCAATCTCTGAATTCTCCAGGACCTGCTGACATTCAACATCCGATCTTGTAACCTTAGTCAACAGACATGCTGACTCAGTTACATACTTCAGGTTTTCCAACTCTTTGAAAAAAGAGGGTGCATTATCAAAGGATCTCATTATGAGCATGTTATTGCCCTTTGTTCTCTTTGTTGGATGGTCACGTGGCTGAAGGTCTGTGCTACTGGGCTGTTTTTGGAAACTGTCCAACACATCAGGGGGTATCTGGAGTCTTCGGCTCACAGACAGTTGAATTTGTTTATATAGCTTATTTACAGCTTTCTGTGATCGCTGATTATCAGAGAAACAGTCATCATCAAATATCTGAACTGCCTGTGGAAACAGGTCTCTGAGTATAGAATTCACTTCCTGAACAGACATTACTC